TTTTAAAAGCTGTTGGAGGTTCAAATACTTGTATTTGTTCAACGACAAAATATAGTTTCAATTATTTTGAAGTATATTTCATCAACTGAAGGATATGCTGTTTGGCACTTTTGCCTTATTCGGTAACTTCGAAAATAATTTTTGTTTGTTGCAATTTCAAGAGAGTAAGTGAATTTTGTAAAAACATTTTTAAAGAATTTTCATCGAAGTCGAAATGCATCTGTCACTCGAATATATGACATAGAAAAAAAGGAGTTCGCTTTGAATCTTTGTGTTTTCAACGCAAAAATATACACAAGTGTGCGCTTGGTTTTTATGCAAGTCATTGAAGCGTTGGATATTTGTTTCGGATATTTGTCATTCGATATTTATTTGTCAATTGTTGTATATCATTCAATTTTTTATTCATCTTAAACTGCAAATCGTACATGGGCGATTTCATAAGATACAGACAGGAGCTTCAAGTATCCATCCCAATTTAGGATCCCCAAACACGTGTTCACGTCGTATATCTTGAGTTACACATGCTTTTTGCGTGTGTGGCGCGCCGGTATTTACGGCTTTTTGTTCGGTGGAAATTTTGCGAATTATTTGTTGTTCTTCTTTGGTAATGACATATGATTTCCATATGCATATACAAAATATGCATTTGTAAATAATTTCAATTAAAATAAATATGTTTACATTGTCGAAAATGTAGTATGTGTACGCGGTTTAACTATCTGGACTCATGCACAGTCCAATGTGAATACGTTTGCACAGTAATTTTTTGTTGTTGTTGTGCGCCATTCATATTGAGCAATTCACATTCGAGCAATGTCAACAACGTCGTTTATATGACTTGTACAAATTGTTTGTATATTAAAAGGCAGGAGTTTTATGATTCATCAGCTCGGTTTTCTTATCGTAATGAGTTCACTTGAACTTGTCTTTCCATATGTTGTTTTGCCCCATTGGGGGAGAATATCACTTTTTTTTCTGTACATGGCTATGGTTGCACGACCCACAGTCAACTCAAAACGCAAATGTTTTGCTATTGCAAACAATCAAATTACGATTATGTCACTGCACTGAATTATTGTTGCTTTTATTTAAAAAATAATAATAAATAAATATAAAACAAACCAAAATGAAAGTCTCGAAGTTGATAATAATCCATTTACGTCAATACACTTTTATGCATTGCATAAATGCGATCATAATCAATTCCAATGATAGTACTGGGCAGATGGATCTAAAACGGAAATCATACATACAAGCATACAAGCAAGATCAAATCCAGAAAGAATCAACAACAACCGCATCCAATGCTAACAGTGAATGGGAAAAAAAAGTGAAATTTAATCAAAATGAAAATGAAAGAAAAAAAACGGAATTGTCATCCATCGATTTGATCAGAGTACGCGCGTGTTGTTTTTTATTCTTTGTCGATCTGCCTGATAGAATAATAATATACCGACACATGTTATTCTGGCAATAGAATAATTTTTTCGATCCTCTTACAAATGAAAGTATACATGATGCCATCATCACAGACATCTATTTACATATTATATTTTTTGGTATAGATTCACACTAATAAAATAAAAAAATACATTGGCATCGGAATACGATTGAGCTTAATGTAAACAGATGATGTATTTAATCATTGACTTTTCATTAAATTAACCCTAATGCATTAATTTTTTTCGACATGAGAACTATTTTTCTATGATTATTTTGGTTTGAAATTCCTTACTTTACTCAAAAAATGCTATTGACAAAATTGGAGAACCATCGAAACCATTGTTTATACAATAGCAATAGAATTGCTATAAACGAATGCCCGAACTATCATTTAAAAAATAGAAGACCCAAAAAGAGGTCCCCACTTTCATTTTGTCCCTTAATTTTTGAAGGGGGTAATTTCAATACCTGCCTTGTACTACCCAGAAGTACTGTTCAAAAAAACCTAGCATTGCATATTTTCTTCCGCTTCAGAAAGTAACGAGCTTAAAAAAGGTCTTCATTATTTTCACGATAATCCCTAGCAAATCGAAAGAATATTTTTCTCAATTTGTAAAGGGGTAATTCCCAAATCTGTTCTGGGGGTAAACCAACCCCTCGGACCCCGGGTCAGAAGCTATATGATAATCATGATCGATTTCAAAAACTCCACATTTTACCTCAATTATATTATTACCTCAAAAATAATCTTAAAATTTTCATTTGATTTGATTTGCTTACTTGTTTTTAAGCGCGATTGTAAGAAAAAATTTGAAATTCGAATTGTCCGACTTCGGTGCGATAAAAACCAACATGAACTCGGTAGAATTCGAATTTTATTTTTCTTAGTTTCGGATGGACAAAAACAATCTCGGACGTGTCCGTTGACAACAGTACCCAGAAGTCACCCAGAGCTGTGACACATAGAGTAAACATATCCTCCATCATTTTTTTTTTTTTTTGAAGTTGAAATGACATAAGTGATTTTTGAATGCATCTACCACATGAACGTCTATCAAAATAAAATGTCTATTCAAAGTATTTTCGAAAATAATCGCCCATAAGTAGCAGTTATATATCACGATATTCGTCAAAGAACGAATTCTTTATTTCTTTATTTCTTTATTTATTTTAATGCTATATGCAAACTTACAATAAATTATAAACTTACATACATAGTAACATCATACTTTTAATTACGGAATGTAGTTTGTTGCCGATAAGCCACGTTTTACATTAAGCAATAGAGTCAAACAGATCTTTAACAGTACATAAATATATATTATATTTATACTATAGCTTAGAATCCAAATAGGAAGAAGACAGCTTCAAATGAATTTAAGGTTAGTTTTTGTTAATTGCAAAAAATAAACGCGCTTAAAGAACATATTCTTGAAAATTCCCAATGGTTTTATTAAAGCTTTACCGTTGTTGTTTACCAGCGCCAATTTTTCCATAAAAATATTATTTTCTGACGCACACACATACTTTGTGAATCGAATTTTGTTTGGTGCCTCATAAAAAACTGCAAAACTCGTGAACTTTTATTGAAGTAAAAATTCCGCAAAGTTATTATCGTACAAGTGTTGTGATGTCATAAACAAAGACCCGTATCATTGAAATATCGGTAGATGTCGAAAAGACCAAAAACACACCATTTCAACCTTTCATGACCTGCACCCCTTATATGGACAGTAGAAAGTAATCAAAACAATAAAACTTATTTATAAAATCATAATTATTTTTTGAAATGATCCGACTTTTGGTGGCTACCTGCATTTTTTTTTTTTTTTTTTGAGCTGCAAACGTTGTGTCATTGGATTTGCATAAGAAAATGGAATTGAAAATCTTGAAAGGATTGGTAAAACCCACATCTTAGTGCGCATATTTTATAGGCGCAAGTCATAATGTGATAAACTGAAGCAAATTCAAAAGTTTATTTTGCCACAAAGCGAAACAAATAAACAAACAAAAATTTGATTTTTCTTTTGAATCTGACGATGTTGTTTTGAATTCTACGCGGAATCATGTATCCAATAGACTATCTATATAAATGTAGTTATATCAATAAAAGAAATATAGCATCTTGTCGCATGATCAATAGATAAAATCGCAACTTGAACAGAAACAATGGGGCAATTGTTGAATTATTTTGTAATCTTTTCCAAAAATAAATAAATAATAATATTGAATTGCGACAACCAAATTTTGAGTTTCAAGTAAAAGCTCTAGAGCGCTCTCAAGTTGTCTACGAATGAAAATCGATTGTAATTAAGATAACCGCACGGGGTGCGTTAAATGTTACATGAAAATGTGTGGCCGCGTGTCTATTTGGCTCAGGTGTGTGATTTCGATGATGTTGTGGTCATGGCATAGGCTATTGGATCGTGATATTTGATTAACCATTTCCATGTGTTGAAGTGCCGTCTTTCTTCCACAATTTCACGAGAGATGCCATAGTTTGAATCGTTGTTCAAATGCAATGTGAAGAAAGGGCAACAATTCAAGGAAAAAACATCAACCAAGCTCATGACTTATTGGATTGAATGAGTAATAAAAGTTGATTGAGTGGGAAGTAACAAATGTTGTCGCACAATAGAAATTTACAGAATATTTGCAAATTTCATCTGTGCCATTCACACATGCCGTTAATTGTCAATAATCCGAACTTTAATCCCGTCGTTGAATTTCAGAAGTAAAAAAAATATAGAGAATTTGTAATGGTTTCTTTTCATCTATAGCTGTTGTTTGAAATTCAATACATTTTATTTTTCTTAGGCAGTGGTGCGCGCGAGCGCGATCCCACTAAATGTATTACATTCTCATGAGTCGTGTTATCTATCGTGCCTCGAAGCGCACACTCACATATACACACAAACTCGTAGCCCTATTTCCGTCACCAGATTCGTTTGAACCAATTTCTGCTACTGACAAATACACACACACACACACACATACCAAAAAAGCACTGTTATCACAAAAACTTCGAACTAAACCGAACGTGAAAGAAACGAAACGAAGAAATAGATGATTATAAATACAAATACGATCAAAGCGACAGACACACGCGTGTTTCGAATGCCCGATAAGAGTTTGCCGAGCAAAGCTGTAGCGCACTCTGAATTCTAAGCGCAAAAATATTATCTTATACAGTGTGCTATCTTCACATATGGCATATGCTCGCATTTTTTTGTATCTCTTTCGCTTTCTTTTTGTCTGTCTCATTTGGGCTCGCTCTCGCTATCGTGAAGTGGCTCTGTATAAAGAAAATTACATTTTATTGATGCGCACTTCTTAAATTGTATTTCTTTTTGTTGTTCGTACTTTAGCGCTTCTTTGTCTTCCTTTACAAAGCTTAATCGTGCGCGTCTCGCATAATACTATGTAGTAATATTGGTTTGCATTGGTCTGTATTTGTGTATCTGTTGTTGTTGTTGCTGCCGTTTCAATTCATTTGTCGTTTTAACTTTTGTATTTTTAGATTAAAATTTAATTCCAATAAATTTGTATTACATATTCGTAATGAATTTAGTTAGAAATATGCCGTCGAGTTGGGCGGTTCGGTGCTATATTTATTTTTCATCATATCTTTGGCTTTCTTGAAAAGCAAATATCCACGGTGTGTTCTTCGCATCACTCGTTCTGCTCATTGAAATTGAAATTCGCACGTTGTTTGCCCCAAAAAAGTAAATCTCATTCAACTGAGACTGGAGACTGACATTGAATAGATTGCCCAGTGCACAATAAGTGATTTTTATTTTGTTGCGCCACCTTCTCTATAGAAAAAAAAAAACACAAACTGCCAAACAAATAAAATCGATTCGATAGTGAGGGTTGAAATTCGAAGAGAAAAAGAAAAGAGGAAAATCATTTAAAAACATAACACAAAAGAAGCCTAAAAAAAACTACAAAAATGTTAATGCAAGAAAAACTATATGATTTCAGTTCAGAATATCGGCCAACAAGTGTGGGTGACTATTCACCCGTTGTTGTGGCGGCCGCCGTAAATTTATGCCGAAATACAGCATCGCCGCGTCCACATTTTAATCCATACGAATGTAGTAAATATATGCCGCTCTATTATCGTTCGAAAATTTTTAGCGAATATAGCCAATTTTTGGCCAAACCAACGTCATTGCTATCATCGAGTGCGGTCAATGCCGCCGTCACCAGCACAACGGTACCATATTTAACGATGCAATTACCGATTCGACCATCAACATTAACCGACCGAAATGCAATTGGTGTCGATGTGTCGGATTCAACAGCAACAGCTAATAATAACAATAATAATGCATTTTCATCGTTGCCCGTCAAACGTACGCTGGATGGATCGGTTAAATCGACCGAAACAATAACGGAACGATGTGAAAATACGCGCACCCAATCGGTTATTATGAAAGTTGAAGATCAACGAATTGTTGAAGTACCAACGAATGAACTCATCACACGTAATCATACCAACAACACCAACAACAACATCACACCAACCATCACCACCACCACCGAAATCGAGGAGGAAACCTACATTTGTAAATGGGTCAACTGCTACCGGTAAGTGCACATTTTTAAGCAACAAATGTCGCTATTTATTTAGTTAAAAAAAATGGTCATTAAGACCCAAATTTTAAGTAAAAAATAAACCAAAAGTTCAAAATTTCGATGTTACTTTTATTTTTAATTTTTATTTTCTTCCCTCACATCGGAATCACCAGACAATTTGAAACACTTGAAAATTTGGCTAGTCATGTGACCACCGCCCATGCAATACCATCGTCAACCGGTCTGTATTATTGTCGCTGGGAGAAATGTGCACGATCGGATCGTGGTTTTAATGCTCGCTACAAGATGCTCGTCCATGTTCGAACGCATACCAAGGAGAAGCCACACCATTGTACCGAATGTACGAAAAGTTTTTCACGTGCTGAAAATTTGAAAATCCATCAACGTTCGCATTCGGGTGAAAAACCGTATGTGTGCCAAGTTGAAGGTTGCAATAAAGCCTATTCAAATTCATCGGATCGTTTTAAACATACGCGAACGCATTCAACGGAAAAACCATATTTTTGTAAATTTCCATCATGTAGCAAACGATATACAGATCCTTCATCGCTACGTAAGCATGTAAAAACATTCAAGCACATCGTGCAAACACTAAAAGTGATCGATCCAAAGGAATCATTTGGTACGGCATCGACGCAAGTGAAAGAACCAGTATCGATATTTTGTCCAAAACCGGCTGAAGAACCATGCCGTCAATCGACCGAATATCGTGTATCATTGGGCCATGTTGAACCATCATTATCACTCTATCATCAACACCATCACAAAATGCGTGAACTATCGAAATCATCATCGTCAGCATTTGTCGAACCAACCGTTTTTCTTTCCAATGACGGTCTATCCAATCAATGTCTATCGCCAATGTACTCGAAACGATTCCACACCGCACCCGTTACAGCAATGTACAATTTGGATCATTTATTATCGGGCAATGCAAATATTGAACCATCGAAAATTGCATACCGCAACGAAACAACACCGGATGATGAAGATGATCACATTACCGATTTTTGGATTGAGGATAAATTACGTGGCGTCGGTTTCGAAGACGATTGTGATGATATTGAAATTGAAACGCCGCTCGATTTGAGCTGCCGCAAAGTCGTTAGATAGTGGCAGACACACAAACACACACACACGCATACCAACGATATCAATTATTACAAAAATTCGTTTTGAATACTCGTCGACAAATTTTTTTTTGTTTTTCGTCTTTCCAAATTACGGGCTGTTACCAATAACTGTTTTTTAAATCTATTTTTTGTTTCGAAAAATTGATATGTGATTTAAAAAAAAACAAACGAGATATATTGCGTTGTAACTGTGTATATATAGGCTAGTGAATGCATCGAAATTCTTTTTTTTTGGTACGATATTTTTGGCGATTTAATTTTAGTTTTTTTAATATTGACAACAAGGTGCGTGGAAGCATTGCAGGAATTCAATTGCAAAACAATCTTGCATAGGGACACAGAATTGGACACATGCCGTTTTTGTAATATTCCCATAATAGAGCTCTGTTATGCACTTTGCCTTGTCGTCGACGTATATAGTTATATAAAAAACATAAGATTCATTCGATTTTATACCATAGAAAAATTGGTCTGCTCCTCCCCCATAAGTTTTTAATATTATTGTTATTATAATGAATAATTATTAAGACGAAGAAATCATTATCCGTTATGTTACATAGAATAGATGTATATTTGACTTTTGATTATAAATTGAAAAAATGAGAGGAAGAATAAAAGAAAACGAAATAAAGATAAAAAAGCTTTACACGCTCGCAGCGCAATTTTTGTGTGTGTGTGTGTTTTTTTTTATGTTCTTATAATTGAATTGTCGTTAATTTGACGTAATACTCGAATGTATGTAATAACGGTTCGAATAGACAAACGACGCATTTTGGTCTACGTGTCAATGTTCAAACGAGAGAGATAGAGAGATACGATGCAAAACTTTGGCCATGTGAAATGCAAAAGAATCTACTTGGAATACGAAAAGTGATAACAATGATAATGGTTGAGCTATTTTAGTAAGATGCTTATTACTGGGCTTTGACTGGTATTGTCGTCGTCGACATCGTCGTCGTAGCCGTTGCCGTTCTCTGATAAGTGATAACGATTCACGTCGAATTTCGAAATTCACATCAACATTGTGGTTTTGCGAGCTCAAATGGGCAAACGAATAGGGCAAAAGTATGCGAAGAAGAGAAACAAAAGAGAGTGATAGAGAAAGGGGGGGAGTGGAGACGGCGGAAAAAAAAGTGAAAAGCATTAGGCAAGAGCTAGTGAGATAAAGAGCATTTCGGTTTACGACACACACACACAAATTTCAACGAGTGGAAATTTTGCCGGCGAACACCTTCTCACTGATACTGAATTACCACAAGCAAAATAAATTTTCGAAAATAAAAGACGCATAAACAGATAGTTACCGATAACGACTATTCAGATTCGCTAAAGCTGAAACCAAAGAAAAACAAGGCACAAGACACCGAACGTACGAAGAAGACTCATAGTTCAATTTCATCGGGTTTTTTTTTTATTGACTTTTTTCATATTTACAATACTTGGTACAGCTACATATTTAAAACAATATTTTGTTGTTTTGTTTTTCGTTTAATTTAATTACACAGAAAACGTTTTAAATTTTTTTTTATTCTTTTTTAAATTAATTTTTCGCTAAAATCCTAGACGTTCAAATGGGGCGCCTAGAAAAAATTTAGACGCCCAAACTACATATTATCATTCACCATCGTCATCATCATCTTAGCTCAATAAGAATTTATTAGTTGCTTTTACGTTTCATCTGTAGTGAGAGGAAATTTCGCAGAAAACATAACTACTTTCCATATTTAGCGTTGAAAAAGAATGGCGAACATTTGTTTTTTGTTGTCGAACAGTAATTTAGATTCGTTTGTTCTTCTCTTATTTCAAAGCAACGACACACGCGTGTGTCACATGATTTCGAAATTACTGAAAGAAAAATTATACAGACGTTTTTTTTTTCATTTCGTGACACATTGTTTTCAATGGGTTTTTCATGATATTAATCACGATTATTATTTTTTTTGTTACAAAACTGAATCGACAATACATGCACACGATTCATGTTCATATTTCTTTTGTGTTAGGAAAACAACGAAAAAATATACACGAAAAAATCAAACTACACATTGACAATTACTAAATAAAGCTCTCAATTGATTGGATCATTTTATGGCAAATGCTAATTCGTCGATTGGCAATTTAAAAAGAGCATGTTTGTATTTTCATGTCTCATTTTTAAATTTTCGTACACAAATTTAAATGAAAACGCGAAAAAAACAAATCGCGTCGCTCATGTGTTTGTTAGAATTTTGAACGAACGCAAAACAATACAGAGAAAATAAAATTATTTCGTTTTTTTTTTGTTGTTGTTGTGTTTGTATAATAGATGTTCACTTAATGCATCTATGATTAAATGCAATAATTTAAATAGGTTTTATTATCTGAGTGGTTAGTTTTCTTTTACATATTGATAATAATGTCGATTGTGGCGTGATTTTTCTTTCAATTTCTTTGTTAACTGATTAAGATGTGTTGACAAAAAAAAACAACATTTAATGAATTCATTTCTCGATTCGATCTGATCAATATCGCTTATTTCTCTTCTTCAAATGAATACACACTATAAAATAATGTATAATTTATTATTTAAAATAAAAAGAAAATTCTGTGTATTTTATCGCATATTTGCGAGGAAAAAAAATGAATGCGAAACAGAGAGACAGAGAGAGAGAAAAAAATGTTAACATTTCTGATGATCATTGACTAATTTCAATTAAAATACTTTCTGTTGTTAGTTTTCTTGGCTTGTGCATACACAAAGAATAAAAAAATGATTCCAGTCATGAATGACATCGAAATATTAATCCATTGATGTAAAAGATCATTTAAGAATGTGTTTGTATATTGGTTAAATTGTTCTTCTTGTTTTTTTATCTGTTCAAATGCAAATGATTTACTTTTTTCAATCATTCGATGCTTTGTCGACCACACATATACATGCACGTGAAATGTTTGGTGTTTAACGACGTTTTGGTGTTGTTGCCGGTGGATGTGATTGTGGTGATTGTTCAACTTGTGGTTGTGGTTGTGTGGCCGATGCTTGGGCGGTCGCTTGAGCGGTTTGTGTTGGTTGATTTGCTTGTGATTGTTGTGTGGGTTGTTGTTGTGATGGCTGAACGGCCACCGCCACCAACGAACCCGTTGATGCTTGCAATCGTAAATTTTGATTTGCATTTTGATTTCGCACTTGTTGCTGTTGCAACATACTAAATATTGCCTGTTGCGGCGTTGTACCCGCACTCACTTTTATCGTATGGGGCGGATTTGACATGTTCGTTCGAATTGTACCGGCCGCCAATCCTTGCGCTGATGCGGCTGACACTACCTGAACGTGTTCAAAAAAATAAAATAAACAAAAGATGTTATTCAAAATGCACAAAGCAAAAGAAAGAAAAGCGTAAGAAATAGAATTTACCTGAATGGTTTGACGAGCATTCTGTGATGACACTGATACGGGAATTATTCGCTTGCCTAATACAATTTGATTCGGCTGCTGGCGTATCAATTGTTGCACACTGACCGTTGACTGTTGTAGATTTTTCGGATTTTGTACAATTAATTGTGTACCACCGACCGATGTGGTCTTTGCCGTTCCCGCTGCATTTGTTGCACCCGCTGCACTCGTTCCCGTAAATGATTTGATCGAACTGTTTGAAAGACACCGATTGAATGAATCAGAACCTTATTCTCAATAAATACTCTCTTTGTGATACATACCCGCCGGTGGCTCCTGCCGCATTCTTTCGTTGTTGCTGTTGTGCGATTGGTATTTGTTGTAATTGCATTTGCCGTACACCAGGTAGGGTAGCTTTGATTTGTCCCGTTTTTATTTGAGCCAATGTCATTCCACCCGAAGTAGCTAATCCTGTTGATGTTTTCACCAGCGCTAATTATCGATGACATTTTTAAATATTATTAATTTTTATTTATATTGCTTTTCAAAAAATTGATAACTTTTTATTCTTCTCAGTAGAAATTGAAAGAAAATTATATGAAAAATTCGAAAAAAATATGCAAGGTGATCCTTGAATTAAAATTGAAGCGTACCATATTGTTGTTGACCAGTTCCACTAGCCGATTGCAATTGGATGCTTGGCGTGAATTGCTGCAAGATTTGTGTTTTGGCTTGTTGTGGTGATTGTGATTGCTGTGGCGATTGTGTGTGTTGCACTTGAGTGCCCGTTTGATTTGCCTGCGATTGATTGACCATTTGTCGTTTGACTGCGTTAGAAAGTGGAAAAAATATATGGTTTTTATCTTTGAAATTTGAAAATGTCGAAAGAGGTGCCTACCTTGTTGTCTTTGTTGTACCATAAAATGTGTTCGCTGTGGTGTTGTTGTATTAGCCGAATTCATTTGAACGCTGGCAACCGAAGCGACATTTGTTGCAAGACCCGGACTACCAGTAACACCGGCCACCGTGGCAAGTGATACCTTTTGTCCGCTTGATGGTTGCAATTGTATTGTTTGGCCGACATTTGTGCCGGTCGCAACAATGCCACCTTGAATTATTGCACCTGATGGATTGACAACGCTCACTTGACCGCCGACCGTTTGTAAAACGGTATTACCCTGTGCCGTATTCAATACTTTAAATTGTTGTCTCGCCGTATTTTGACGAACAATTTGAAATTGTGCGGGCTGTGTTATTGGTTTCCCAGTGGCTGTAACACCAATCATTGGTATGCCACCTTTGGTGACAACACCTGATACTTGTTGATTTCCGCCCATCGATAAACGCAATTGGCTCGCTTGAATTTGTGTTGGTGTTACATTTTGTGCAGTTAAACCACTCACCGATACAACGGCCGATGTTTGTGTACCAGATCTGGGACTAAATTGAATCTCTTGTATGCCCGGTGTGGTAAGTATGCGTTGTGCACGCAACGATGAGGTCGTTGCATTGGAAGGTAATCCAGATGTGGTAAACACCGTTCCCACACCTGTCAATTGTGATACAGATACCACTTGGGAGGTTGCCACTTGAGCTGGAAGCGTTTGAACAATTTGACCACTTGGTGTTGGTGTCACATTTTGCTGATTCTAAATAAAAATTAAATAAAAAAATAGTTAGTTTAGTTTTTGTGTGCCATTCATTTACTATCAATGTGAAAAACATGCAAAAAGTCGGAAAAAAAAATTACCGGTTGACTGACAACTGTCGTACTGGTTGGCATAACGGCTTGCTGAATCGAAACGATCGCCAGTTGAGATTGTGACGATTGAATTTGTTGCTGTTGTTGCTGCAAGTGGAAAAAATAATATATTTTAGATTAGATTTGAACCCTTGCATTCACTTCAAATTTGAGCCGATTTCATTTTATTGCGATGAATGGCGAAAAAGTATGGAATTCAAGCATGATATTGAGTTGAATGAAAAACATGCATATAAATACAAATTATGTAATTGCAAAAAAATGAATGTTTAATCATCAGTGGAGTTTTATCATTCAAATCTATCGAACATTTCTTTGAACATTCAAAGAGCAACCTATCGGATTCATTTCATTTTTGCCACAATTTTTCTTTTAATTCACCTGTACGGGATGCAATTGGGGAATCTGTTGCGTAGCTTGCGCACTTTGTTGGCCGGCTTGAGCTTGAACTTGGTTCTGTTGTTGTTGCTGTTTTTTTGGGAAAAAAATGCAATTAGATTCCATTCGAATTGTAAATTTGTTGGAATAGAAAGAGAATGAAGTTGATTGGTGTAATTACTTTTGTCATAAATACCTGTTGCTGTTGAATGTGATGCTGCGTCTGCTGTGGCAATTGTTGTTGAGCTTGTGATATCGGCACATGTTGTACAGCATTCATAATGTTTTGGGTTTGTGGCGAAGCAGTTACTACTTTCACTAGTTGACCAGGTTGTTGATGCTATATTGAAAACGAAAAATATTCAGTAAATTAGTGTTTGATGTGTCTAATTTATTTCCAAAAAAAATAAACTTACGTTTCCAGCACGAGATGCTTGAAGGTTGTGGGCTTGAACGATGGTTGCCATCGATGGTAAAACTTGAGTAACATTTCCTTGTTGCTGCAACTGTATCAACTAGAATAAATTTAAAATAAAATCGAATTAAAAAAAATCCTTTCTCCATTTTGCTTCATCGCAACACAAAGAAGAAGTGAAGCGTTTATTTGTTAATTTATAATTTACCTGTTGTTGTTGTCCGGCTGTTGCGGTTGGTATATGTGCTGTAATCTTGGCTCCTTGTACCTGTTGCGTTTGTGCCGCTTGAAGTTGCTATAATTTAAAAATAGTTCGATAAATAAATGTTTACACGAAGATCATTTTGAAAACGATCGACTCATCAATATTCGATGTGAAACGTTTCTTACCTGTTGTGATGGTGTTGGTTGCAGTTGCGTATTCTGCGATTGAACTTGTTGTTGTTGCATAACGCCAACAGTTCGATTGCGTTCTTTCATTTTTTCGGCGCGTCGTGCGGCTATTTCGACCGGGCTCAATGGTTGATCATAATTTAAAACGCCAAAATCAGCCATAACAACGGCATGTTTTGGATTTTTCATCGATGGATTGACCAGCATTTGTTTGATCTCTGGTGCCTTCTTCATTTTAGCCGCTTTGATGAATTCGTAATTGGTTTTCATCAATTTGGTGAACGAATTGTTATTATCGTTGATAAACAATTGTGATGTACGTAGTGCTCGTATTGCTTTTGGCGGTGACAATGGTTTGCTTGGGTTTTTCGATTTTTTCGGTTGTTTCTTTGGAGTTTCAATCAATTTACCCTCTTCACGTGGCAATATATAGTTTTCATAACGATATTTACATTGTTTTGGTGTTCGATAAACACGTGATGTTTGATTTACAATATCAGCAACTAAATCCCAATTGGGCGTATGACCCGGCGATAAAAGCATCAAATTCAATGGTAAACCTTGCATATTTTGAATGACATTTAACAATGCGGCATCCTCGTATATTGCCCATTCGGCCATGCCCTCCGGTTCGACCAATTGTTTTGTTTGAATTTGGGCTAAAATTGGTTGCGCAACTTGCGGCTGATTTGGTTGACCAGCTACAACACCTTGAGCCGATTGCAATGCACCCGGCTGCTGTGGCTGCTGTGCAACCTGAACGAATGACGGAATGAGCGATTTTAAAGAAAAAAAAATTGATTGATGACATGTTTTTTATTCAAAAGGACTTTTTTTTTGGTAGAATCTATAGAGTTTCTGAAGTTGCAAATATGGAGTAATAATCATTAAATAGAATCGGAGGAGACTTTATAATTTAAGCTTCGTTCGTATGTAACGTGCACTGAACTACCTAACAAAAATTCCGATGACTGGCAACAGTTCTGAGTTATACTCTGTTCTTAAATTGACTCCAACTGCAGACTCGATCAAATTATTCTTCACTGAATTCAAGTGCAAAAGACACGCCAGTTGAAAAAGATCTGGGTTTTTTGCTGTTCTTCAATTTTTCCACGACCGAATTTTTCTAACAAGATTTTTTTTTGCATTTTTTTGTTGTCAAAGTTTCTTTTTAAATCAAAAAAGTTAATCGAAAATTGAATAGAAATTCAATAACTTCAGAAACTCTAAGCTAGGTCCATTTCTACATTATAAATGGGTCACCAAATAATAAATTGATCAATAAAAATCGCGGTCACCATTGAAATCGTCTTATCCGTTTGTTTTATTGAAGAATTAATTATTATTTGGCCATCCATTATTCAAGAGTTCATTGAAATTGAGCCAATCGCAGATTCACATTATAAAATATGTAAATGGCAAACAAAAGGAATTAATGAATTGAATTTCATTGTGTCGTCATAGTGTCGATCTCATATGAATCCCTTGCTTTCAGCTCCTTATCTCTACCAATAAAAAAAACGTCTGATATAAATATCTTACCTGAAGATGTGCGGTAGTTTGTGGTTGTGGTAATTGTTGTTTAATTGTTGTTATTTGAATGAGTGGTTTGAAATTGCCGCGATATCGTTGTGTTTTCAAGTCACGACGCAATTTAGCCAGTGCGGGTGATGGTCGATCGAATAGTGATCGTGGTGGAAAATAATTGTCCTCTTTGCGAATTTTAATTGGACGTCGACCGTCCATGAGAAAACCGGCATCGGTGCGAGTGCGTTTGACCTCCTTTCTAATATAAACCGGTGGCAATTCTGATTCCGGTATGGTTTCTTGTTCGTATAGGAAGCATAACGAATAGTCAATGTAGAGATCAGAATCGTCTTGTGGCGGTGTTGGTGGGCTCCAAAGCTAAAGCAACAAATATGTGTGGATTTTTTTTGGTTTTGTTTTAAAGATTTCGTGTTAAACGTATTGCGCCAAAATGAATTTGGCCAATGCCAATTGTTCGTTTGTGAAACAGAAGAAAACTGTATAAGAAAAGAAGGACAAAATCAATCTTACCGGCATGAGTTCCATTGTGTTATCAGAAATCCATATCTACATCGATATTCAAGAAATCGGTGGCAGAATTGTGTGTGTGTGTATTTGTGTGGGTATATGGGTCGATATGTATTTTGTGTATTTGTGTTCAGGGAGTCAATGTGTCAGTTCATTGTGTGTATTCGAAGTGGTTCAGTTTAGAATTTCGTTTTTTTTTTTTTTTGGTTTAATTTTTTTTTGTTCGGTTGATTTGGGGGGAAGAGAGAAGAAAAATAGCATTTATTAGAATACAAATGTTTTGTTTGTTTTGTGATTGATTTCGAGATTTTTGGAATGTAGAAAAAAAAATTGGGAAAAAAAAATGTTTTGCTTGATTTAATCTACTTATGTTAAAAGTTTGAGAAACTAAATTTTCTTGATTTTTCTTTTATAAATGTTTCGGCTCTTGTTTTCGCGCGACATTACGGTAAAACCAAACGAGGACGATGCAGAAAAATACCGGAATTGAAAAAAGGTTATTCTGTTTCACTATTTACATTTTTTCCGCTCAACTTAAAAAAAAAAAATGATGCTCGGTTTGTTTGTTCCGGCCTGCGATTGTGCTGTTTATGTTTAAAGTGTGTTTTTAGTGCATCTTTTTCAATTAATTATTTTTGTTTAGCTTTTTTTTTATCTATAACCAAGGCAAAGTGAACGCTTTTGGAATGGCAAATGGCTGTTTTCATTTCCTTTGCTTTTTTGCAGATCGGCAATTTTTTTTCGTATCGAATGTATGTGTGTCTGTGTGTGTTTGTATGTATTATTATTTTCAAAAGACGATTTGTTGTGCGAATCACGACGAATTAAAAAAAAATTCTTTGTTTTGCATTTCTCAAAAGGACTTATGCTTACATATGAGACACTGGAGTGGTTTTTCCGTTGCTTTAACGCATTCTCTTTTTTTACCAAATCGTTTTCCATTGCGGAAAATTGAATAAAAAAATTTTGGGACTTGATTTGAACCAACTCCGAGAGAATCATACTTTAAATTGACGAACAAAAGTCAGCGTGCCATTTGCCCATTTACAAATTTAAACCGAAATGAATTTGCGTGTTGTGTGAAAAAAGAACAAAAAAAATTGTTTAAGATAAATTCGTGAAGAGGATTCAACCACATTGAGATTGGTTGAATTAAATTAAAAACAAAGTACGCTTATTATTTGAATGCCTCTTTTGCGAAAAAAAAACGTCAATTATTTGCTGGTGATTGACACACCGATTCAAGTAACACACACACACTTTTCTCTCTCTTTTCAAGAGAAAAACCATAATTTCTTTATCAAAATAAACTTTCGTAACGTTTTTCGATCAAAGGAACGGATTTTTTTTTTCATTTTTATGTTGTGACGAAAACAAAAGCAACAAATATAAAGTTTTGACTAGGTCTTCGGTATTCGGATCGATATCAATGTTTTTTTTTTCTCAATTTTTCTTTTCGTTAAAATGTTTTATGCAGCACGCGACGCGACGCGACGCAAGTATCGTTTAGTGTGTAATTTTTTTTCTCTGGTTATAAGTAGTTACGATCTGGGTAAATAAATTTGGTGGTAATCAGTACGTAAATATTGTTTTTTTTTTCTTTTTTCTCGTTTTATATAAAAAAGCAACAACAACAAAACAAACATTTGCAATTCCAAATAAATGCTCTTTTCAATGCCGTTGGGTATAAATAAAACAACACAACATTTTGATTTGTATTTTTTCTGGTGTTAATTTATATTATTTGCAATTTTTGTTCAGTTTTTTTTTTTAAATCATGTTGTTTCTTGGATCCGATTATACATTTTGTTTCTAATTTAACATATAATCGAAATAAATGTCACCAACATGTTTTTTTTTTTTTTTTTTTGGTTGATTTCTTTTGCGCCTCTCTTTCAATTCGAGAGCGTGTATGAGAGAGAATCAGTGGATTAAGAGGATTTTTAAACTCTATTTATCTCTTTGCTTAACATTGAATGTACACATTTTATAGCCTAATAGTTTCTTTGTAGTTTTTCCATTTTTTTCATTCTTTTTTTACAATTCTCTCATCGAAGTTTTTGTTTATCTTTTTAAATACAGTATTATTATCATTAGTCCTAAGTTTATTTTAATAAAAATTGAGAAACGCATATCTAATGTCACAGAGCTCATTTTCATTTCAAATTTGTTTTCTATTTGTGTGTGGTTTAGTCTATTTTTTTCTTTTGTTTCTTGTTAAATTCTTGCTTTATTTTCCACTCAAACATTTCAAATCATCCGTGTCTATCTAGATAGATTTTGTTTTGGATTCTTTTGAACAGCTTAGCTTGATGAATATTAGAGATTGTGTGGATTTTCATTTGTTCTCTTTTTCGAATGAAATATTGAAAATTATTTTAAATTAAAATAAAATTCATAAATTATACAATGCCCCGATGTGTATTCCGATATATATATATGCTTTTTTTTCTTCAAATTGTTCTATGAATGCACTGGATAATTGAATACAATGAACGGGCAAGTGTCTGTGTCAGACATACTCTTCTCGGCAAACACATACAAAAAGTGTGTACTTTTTTCAACGAAAAATAAAAGAGAACAGTTTTCTACATCATTTTGGCCTGACCTATTTTCATTTTCAAATCTCACTGGAAAATCGACGAAACTACGAAAAATTGCTTCAATGCCACAAAGCGAATGGAAGATAATAATTTCGCAAAGGAGATAGAGAAAATGTCCAAGCAACAGCGTGGAGAACAAAACAACGACCATGCTTCAACATTTTGGAAAACCATGCTTGTTTCATTTGAAGTGGACAAAAATAATTTACAACGCTTGAAATGTGTAATTAAAATGCATCAAATCGAAAATCATATTTTGAACAAGATTTCGATGATGAACCGAGTGGAAATAATGACGTCTGAAATCTAAAAATATTTTTTTATTCGATCTTTGCGATTTGCATCGTCGTCCAGAGTAAGAGACAGAGAGAGAAAGAGAAAAAAAAATATCTTTCGATTTTGATGCGGTGCAGATAGTGTGCAATGGCATAGGGTAACAGTTTATCAAAATTAAACTCCGTCTATGCACATATGAATTTTTCAATCGATTCATCGCTTTTGCAACTGAATTCGTTTTTGTTTTTCTCGCCACGTTTCCAATGACACACAGCATGTGGTTTTCACAACGTAATGCTTTGTTTCAACAAACAAAACAAAAACGTTTGCTTTTGAAGGAAACACAGTGTCACATTATTATTGACTAAAATCGGGCACATTTTGAAATTGGCTACGTTCGTCATTTCTCAGAACAATATTCTCTGCAAAAATTCAAATGACTAACATATTTTATTGGATGCCCTCGTGTATACTAACTACGCAATTGGATGGCTGGCATTTATTGACGCAAAGTCAAATCTAATCAAATTTTAAGTTTCAATATCAATATGGGTTCCGCATATAATACAGAATAAATAGCAAAATTTTGATTTGACCAACATTGATGAGATTCGATTGCAATACAAATGAAATTTTACATCTTATTTAAAACAACAACAACAAAAATCACCGAATGACATTTTGATGCGACGCAATATTTAAAGACCAAAATTTCCCGCTTAAATCGAATCGGGCTGTGTCACAATTAAAATTGAAACGAAGAGTTGTTCGCCCCTTTCGAAAGTACTTCGTTTCAAAAATTGCGTTTAATATGCGGACAACAGTATTGCTTTGGGTGCGCGAGTACATTTTTTGATAAATGATACTTGAAAGCTGAACAGATAAAGTGCCAGCCATTGCGTCGAATATTTCAATGCCAAATATAGATCATCGATCATTTGATACTGTTGTTGTTTTCCACTTCATATTATTATTTTTTTCTGTTTCGAATGTACTTGGTTGCTTTTGGAGCATGTATTTTTCGTTTTATTTTTCATTCCCTTTTCCCTTTTCTCTCACTCAAATTTTTGATTAAAAAATTGTGTTTTTACTTTTTTTCATTAGAAAAACTTCGAGAATTTGTAATTTTTCTTTCTATCTCCTCTTCCGCAAAAAATTGTAATAAATACGATAATTTCTACATGAAACAAACAATGAACAAATTTTAAAAATAGAAAAAAAAATGAAATGTAACTAATTTTTTTGCTCTTTTTCTCTATCACTCTAGCATTCGAAATAATTCATAATAATTTTTATGGAACATTGAGAGTTTGAATGAGGCGTTGTATCGGCATTTGTGGTCTTTTCAAAAGGTCAAACGACACAATGCGCATTGATTGTTTGGCCGGTTAGATTTTCGATTTAAACCGTGACTTTTGCTGTTGTGCATCACAATCATGTTTGTTGAGAACGACCTTTGGTGTTCGATTCAAATCAAACAGATGATTTTTGGCATTTAGACCAATGGCTGTTGCACCAGCAACACTTGTATTGGTCGTTGATTTTGTCGATTTCGTTAAACTTTTCCGTGATCGAATGTTGTCGTTTGTTTGATCAGTGCTGGAATCGTTTAATTTTGATTTCATCGTTTTTGTATCGGGAGTATTGGCAGAGACTTTTTGATTGACATTGTTATCATCGGTTGCAGTAACATCAGCATCATCATCGTTAATATCTTCGGCTGAACTGCCATTGCCATTTTCAAAAATGTCATTGATCGCACCGTGCGATGTTGTTTTCATCGAACCGGTGGGGGTTTTGTGATGAATTCGTTTTGCACATAGTTCGGGCACATTTTGACTTTTATCAAGTGTCCATAGATCAATTTTGATGCGACCATGTGAACGTGTGCTACGCGGACTATTGATATCGATTTGATGATTTGTATCCACATTATTTTTCATAATTAGGCTATTCTCTTTGGTTGCATCGCCATCGGTTTCATCGTATGACATAATCGAACCGTCCGATTGCACTAGAATTGCATCGTCGCCGTCATCGTCACCGTCATCGTCATCATCATCATCCTCGGCGGCAGTATCATCTTCGTCCGATTCCTGTGGATCGGTTGAATCAACCATTACATCTAAACTACATTCACTATCATCGAATTCCTCTGAATGACGTTGTTCACTGCATTCGCTATGCTCAGCCGTTGTATCGTTGTCATTCTTTGACGTTTTTCCATAACTATTGGCAACGCCATTATTTTTATTCGGACTTATCAATGGCTCATCATCACTGGACATCACAATTGTTTCATCTTCGGCATTTTCTAATTTTGGCTGTTTATTCAAACGAGTACTGAGGCGCATCGAACTAGTACGTTTCGTACCAGACGACGACGATGATGATATCGATGGTTTTTTATTCGGCGAATTAGTTTGGGCCAAACGACTTATTGGCGCCGGTGGCTTTGAATTATTTCGCAATGCTCGACGCGGTCGACCTAACTGTTTTTGTGCAACAACTGTTCTAATTGGTTGTCTAGCTGTCAATCTACCCTTAACTCTTTTATTATTTTTAACAACACCGTGTCGATCGCTTTGTTTTACTTTTAATAATCTACGATTAACTGGATTACGTTTACTAAATTTATTGTTATTAACCTGGTTTTGTGCATCCTCGCGTGAGTATGTTAACATTTCATCTAAGTCGGCTGCACGTTTCTCATCTTCTTCTTCCTTTTTGATTGCAGCCAAACGATTTGCCTCCCATTCACGTTTTTGTTGTTCGATTTCCGCTTCGGCCGCACGCAATTGTTCAGCCGTCCATGAGCCACCCGTTTCTTCAACGAAACGCATTGCATACAGTTCAATTGGATTTAACTGTTCATATAACAAGAATAAATGGAAAATTCAATTAGTTTTTAAACGAAAAATACATATTTAAGATAAAAATTTCTGCATAAGATTCGATTTTTATTTTTAGTGTAAGACTTTGAGTGATATAACTTGGCTATTGGTGTGACACCAAGCTATGTCTGAGAGTCTGCATTAATTTTGCATTTTAGCAAACCGAAAATGTAATAAAAAATCCACTGCCAGTTTAATAAAAAAATGCGACTCCATTCCTTTTGGAAATCTTAATGCTCTTCAATGATTCAAGTCACTCTCAATTGAGAGATGTTTCTTTAAACTGCTGAAGTTCTTGGAAGATCTCCAAATTCTTTTTAAATTTCAACATTGAATATTTAAGTGTAAGACTTTGAGTGATATAACTTGATTATTGGTATGACACCAAGCTATGTCTGAGAGCCTACGTTAATCTTGCATTTCAGCAAACCGAAAATGTAATGAAAGTCCATTGTCGGTTTAATCAAAAAAATGCGTAATCGGGTCCTTTTATCATGGATTCAAACACCAAAGTCTTTAAAGGTCAAATTGTTTTTTAGGAAGCAAGAATGAAAGAATGAAATTTATACCTGTTTCACGAGATTTTCCACTTCTTGTTCAGCTTTGCTCAACTCGGGTGGTTTATTTTCGTTGTCTTCAATTGGAATGCTTTCATCAAATTCAGCTAAATCGGCTGCCGCTTCAGCGCTAGCTGTTTTCGCCGCTTGTACATCTTGTTCATCTTCAGCGGCAGCAAGTGCCGATTCAAATGCACCAATGGCAGTACGATCTTCCGATCCACTTGGTTGTGATGGAGGTTGTTGTTGTTGTTGTGCCGACGATGTGGCAGCTGTGATGGCTAAATTCTCTTGTAATCGATTGCGTCGTTCACGATCTCTGTCCAATACATCGGCCAAACGATCGGATGCACTATCTTGGGCATTATTAACAGTAAATAGATCCTGTATCGATGAGCCCTTGAAATAGGCCGTTGTAAAATTGCCACCTTCAATGGCTAAATCGCCGAGTAATCGCTTTTGATTTGCCTTTTTCAAAATATTCTCTTCAATTGTTTTTTCACTAACCAAACGATAGATATGTACGTCACGCGTCTGGCCGATTCGATGGCAACGATCTTGGGCTTGTGCATCCATTGTTGGATTCCAATCCGAATCATAAAATATCACAGTATCAGCTCCGGTCAAATTAATACCAACACCACCGGAACGTGTTGACAGAATAAATGCAAAAATTCGTTTATCATTGTTAAAACGGTCCATGAGAATTTGACGTTGTTCAACTTTTGTTGTGCCATCCAATCGCAAATAGATGTGACCATGATAGTTAAGAAATGCTTCGAGCACATCAAGCATCCGTGTCATTTGAGTGAATATCAGCACACGATGTTGATTGTTTTTCAGTTCGCGCAATAAACGATCGAGCGTTTGTAATTTACCGCAATCGTATTGGATAAGACGTGGATCTGGAAATTGTGTTGACATCGCCGATACAATTGGATGGAGTAATGACATTTTTGGTGATAATTCTGTGGCAAAACATTGTTCGCGTGCCCGTTCATCATTCAATTTCGATGGATGTGGATGTGAAACATGTAGAATGGGCATCGGTGCCGATACGGGCGGCACAAATAAAACAAAATTCTTGAAAATATCATTCATTTCATTTGTTCGTTGTGCATATGTTTTTATGCAATTGTTTAGGCTCCAATTTTCATTGGTTTGCATTGCATTCATACAATTTATATAGCCAATGCTCATCCATGAACCATATGCTGAACGATTGCTGGGTCGACCATCGAATAGTTTCGTAACGGATTCCCTGAGATCTGATCCATACATCGGTGTCGTTGAACACCGGCGTCGATTCATTTTTGCCAAAAATTGTAATTTTTGTTTGCGTCGTTTCTTAAGCATTTCTTCGGTTTCAATAATACCAAATTCAGCATCGGTCTCATCGATATTTTCCTTTTGATCGGCATCGATTTGTTTTGACAATTGGTCACCGCCACTGGCCATTGCATATGAATGGGTTTTCAATTGTTTGGCCAATGTTGTTGACAATTGTAATGAACTGCTTACATTACTGCTACTACTTATGCTACTAGTACTGCTACAACTAATGATATTGGACGTGGACGATGACGATGGTGTGGCTGATACATTTAATGCGTGCGGTGATGATGTGACCTTAACAAATGGCTTTGCAATTGCTGTTGATCGAACGATTCGTTGTGTATGGGTGTGTGGTGTTAATGATGTACTTCGTACCACCGTCAATCGTTGACCAGGTGTCAGCATTGTTGTTTGGCCATTGTTCGATGGTGCCAAAATGATTTGACGTCCGTTTGGTGTTTGAATGATTTGCATGGTACCGGCCGGTGAGCCGGCCGTTCGTCCACCGGCTGCATCAATACGCTTTCGCAGACCGACAATTGTTTGGGTCGGTGTTGTGCCCGCTGTCATATGACCAATACCGCTGACACCAGATGCAGTCAATGGTGGTGGTATTGCTGTTAATGCATGATGACCACCAACACCACCTCTAATACTATTGCTGCCACTGATTGACAATGGCAAATTTCTATTACTATTGTTGCTACTAACTAATAAGTTACTATTAACAGGGATAATTTTTGTTCCTTCAGTCTTCATTGCGGGACTTGTGCCGACTTTAACGCCGGTACTGTACGTACTTATGTTGTTCGATACGGTCGATTCACGGATGCGCATAAACATTTTAAATTGACCTTCGGGACATTTTGGTGGCGGTTCGATGGCCGTATCAATTTCTTCAATTAATTTACGCGGCGTTTGAGTTTTACGCGCAAAATATGCAACATACGCGCTCAGGCATTGTTCCAATTGTACCAATACCAAATTCAATGAACTCAAATCGATTTGTTCGAATGGATCGTAGTCACAGATTTTCGATATTATCGATGCCGTATGCATATTGATGCCATCCATACGAAATGGTGATACAGTTTGTCGTGTTTCAAACATATTCGGATGATTACACACTTTACGCAATTGCATCAGTACATTGATTACGCTCAATAGATTACCGGACGCCAGTGTTTCACGTGTATTTGCACGGCTCATAAAATCATCGTATAAATATCGTTGACGCTTTGATAGCCGACACATTACAACGTGCTCATACTTTTTCGGCATTTGTTTTTCCACTTCGCATTTTAAACGACGCAATAAAAACGGTCTCAGCACCTATAAGTCGAAGCGGGAGAGAGAGAGAACAGAAAAAAATGACACAAAACAATAAACATTATGCATACAAATAATTGATTTTCATTTTTGAATTGTAATTCGGATTGAAGGTATTTGGGGCAAGGTAATTTGAAATGTTGCGATAATTTGGAAAATGAATACGATTATATGGAAATTTGTATTCAAAAGCTGGTATTTCGCTGTTTATTCTGGCACCTTTGCAAATGTCCAAGGTCGTAGCAACCATGCACAGATTCGAAGTGCGGGAATCATTTTTTTATTGTTAAATTTTCACGTAAAATGTGTTCAAATAAACAATACCTTATGCAAACGTTTGATGATGGAATCATTGTATTCGGAATTGCCTTCAATCATGCCGGTCATTGGGTTTGAGAACCATTCTTTGAATTCTCGATGTGATTGGAACACGTGTGGCATTAGAAAATGCATCAGTGACCACAATTCCATCAAATTATTCTGTAACGGTGTGCCAGTTAGTAGTAGACGTCTGCAAAAAAAGAGAAGAAAACAGTTTCGATTAAGTATCATCTGGGTCTGTTCAACGGTTTGAAGAGGATTTTCAAAGAATTAAAAAAAAAAAAACTACAATCAGACAAATGCCTCGTGCAGATTCATCCAAATGAAATGCGTCCGTCGGCCAAAGATAGGCAAACGAACACGAGAGTTCAGCAGGTTGGTAGTAGTGGTATCATCATTATAGTTTTTCTTTGCATTCATTTTCGATTTTTTTTTAAAATAAAAAAAAAATTGTCAAAATAACTCACTGTTCAGTTTGGAAATTCAGCAATAGTTGCCATCGTTGTGATTTAAAATTTTTGATATTTTGCGCTTCGTCTAATATCAAATACTTCCATTTTTTTCGTCGAAAACTTTGATGATCGGCGATGACCAGTTTATATGATGTGATGCACACATGAAATGCATTCACTTTTGTCCAACCAATACGTTTCGCTTTACGCTCTTTTTGTGAACCATAATACGTGAGAATTTTGAAGCCAGGACACCATTTTTTAAATTCCATTTCCCAATTGAGCATCACCGATGATGGTACCACAATTAAATGCGGACCCCAATTACCTTTCACACATGCCAAATGAGCGAGCAACGAGATCGTTTGAATGGTCTATGGATATGGAGAAAATAAAAGACACCCGTTAAAAATGTGCATCATTTGATAGAGAAGTCTGCGCTTGAAAAAGAAGTTAAACGACTTACCTTTCCCAAACCCATTTCATCGGCAAGAATGCCATTCAGTTTTCGATCGTGCATCGTCACCAACCAATCCAGGCCAATGTGCTGTTGAATAAAAAAAGTGGTTAGAGTTCAATTTTTCCAAATTAGAATCCGTTTTGAACAGAAAAATGAAATTGTTTTCATTGATATAACGTATATTCAGACAAATGCCTCGTACGGATTCATCCATTGAGTAAAAACACGCACAAAAATAGTGAGAGTAATTAATGGTTCAGAGGGTCGGTAAAAGGGTGATCATCATTCGTAATTAATTCGAAAAAAAATAATCTTCGTTAAAATTGTTTTTTACTAACCTGATATTCACGTAAGGTGTGCCGCAGCAAAAACGGTACGGGTGTCACAACATTTGTTGTTAACAATGTATTTCCTTTCGGCTGTATACTTTCAGCTATTGCTGCAGCATCATTTATGAGATCATCTTTATCCGCCTGTAAACAAACAAATAAAAAAAATCGTTTTTATTGCACATCCATGACTCGATCTCGTCTGTATATTTCTTTTTTGCATTGAATATGCGTCACTTCAATTCAAACGGCGAAAGTTTTCCTGAAGAATGTGTCTCTAGAAAGAGTGAAAATTTGTTGCGATAGTTTTTTCACGATAAATTCCCATCGCTCTGAAATTCATGCAAATGCGTAAATGAGCAATGTGATTCGATGGAAAACCGATGTGGATCGTATTTACTCTATGCATAATAGCGTACTTTAGTTGATATGAAAGGCATACAAAAATGGATTACATGTATAAAGCATGTAACATATGCTACTAATCAAAAAAAGTGATTGTAATGCATATCAACGCACCAGTTGGCGTTTGGCTTTCAATTGGTGTATTTTATTGGATTCATTTCAAATTCCGACTTTCTTACCTGAGATTGCTTATTTTCATCTTCTTCCAAGAGGCTTTTCAAGCCAAAGTCTTTGTTTTCTTCATCAATCATCTCCTCATCGTTTTCATTATCACTGAATTCATCGCTGTCTTCATCCTCATCGTCGTCCTCATCATCTTCAACTGCTGTCGCTGATTTTTGAAACACAAAAAAAAAATAAAATAAACAGAATTAGATTTTCTCACGAATCGCCCACAATTTTAATTAAACAAAAGAAAATTTTGTATGTGTATGGGGAAGATTCAGACAAATGCCTCGTTCGATTTCATCCAAAATGCTGTGCTTGAGCTCAAAAATAGAATTCAAGCACGAAATTCAGCAGGTTGGTAGGGGTTTTAACATCATTTTATAGCCAAACAATCATAAATTTCAATTTTTTTGCCGAATAAAATTATGGTAATCAACTTACAATCATCATCTGAATCCAATTCCATGCGCTCGATTCTTCGTTTCGATGTAGCACGTCGACTGTTTGCTTCCTACAATGGATAATTTATTTTTGATTAACAATTTGATGTGTGCCTCGATGTCGAATCGCTCTTTGTGTGGGCAAACGACCGCAAAAAAAAAGATAAAAAAACAAATCATATTGCACTTACATTTGATTCATCGTCAGCTTTGACTTCAGTGATATTGGCTCGTTTGCGGGATGTTGTTCGTTTTGGTGGCTCTTGATTTGTGTCATCATCGTCATTCTCGACTTCGCTCAAAATGATTTTGTCACGATTTTTCAAGTAATCGGATAAAAAGTCTAAATCGTCTAAATCCATTTCGGATTCTTTTTGTAAGGCGGCTATTTCGGCTTTTGTATCGGTCGCTTGTTCTTCTTCTTCTTTGGCAATAGTTTCTTCGTCATCTTCGTCGTCATCATTACCGGGCAAAAATTCATCTAAAAAATCGCACAGGCAACAGAAAAAAAATCGGGTTCGTTTAGATTGCGATGAAATGGAAACCACTGAAGTGGCGGTGAATAAATTTTATGGCGAAAAAAAAAATGATAGTCAGACAAATGCCTCGTGCAGATTCATCCAAATGAAATGCGTCTGTCGGCCAAAGATAGGCAAACAAACACGAGAGTTCAGCAGGTTGGTAGTAGTGGTAACATCATTCAGCATTTTTTTTTAGCAAGAGTTTCTCTTGATGGAAACAACAACAAAAAAAAAAAAATAAAGCGATATGCAAAAACTTACCATCTGATGGTGCATCACGTCGTGGCGATGACCTTCGGCTGGAGTTAAGACTGACAGCGGCCGATGTATTGGCGGTATTGGTGTCGGTCAATGATTTATTCATGCCAACGGCCAATTGTTGTGAATATTTTTCAGTTTGATCGACAATAAAGCTTAAATGTTGATCCAATGCCTCTTTTCGTTTCTCTTTGATTTTTGTCTCTTGTTTAAATTCCACCAATTTTTCAACGTTTGACCAAAAGATTTTGATTTCTTTTGCAATAAAACCGGCAATCCGTTTCAATTGTAGTTCTTTTGCTTTTTCGGCCTTTTGGGCGGCAACCGCTTTGTCGCTGAAATACTTTTGTACCATACGCGCACATTTTTTGGCCGCTGCCTTTTTCCATTTACGTTCTTGGGCAAAATCGGCGGCCAGCCATACCATTTCTTCAAGTAAATAGTCCCAATGGGCTTTTGGCCGTTGTGGTTCTTGTAATTTTGGCAAACGTTTTTCCGTCCATAGACCTTCACGCTGTAACTCGGATATTCGTTGCATAACCGATGCCTCTTGACGCACTTTTAAAAATTGTTCTTGTGGCCCATTGCTGCTACTACCTGCAGTAGCCGCATTCGGTGTGGTTGTCGTTGATGATGATGGTGTTGCCGATGCAATTGTTGGTGCGGCCGATGGCGTATGTTGATGCTGATGTTGTTGAGTATTCGTAGGCGTTGACAATGAATAGGTTTTCTTTGTTTCAGCTATACTTCGTTTTGGCGTATCAGGTACTAACGGTGTTCCGCCTGTATTTTTTTTTCGCAAAAAGCAAAACGAGCGAACGAGGAAGAGAGAAAAAAAAAAACAGACAAAAAACCAATTAATTATTGTCAATAATTCGGCACAAAAATGCAAAACACAAACACACATATACATATTTTATTTAGACAAATAAACGAATATATATAAAAAAAATAAATAGAAACGTTTCGAATAGAAAAGAAATTTATGTTTTCGCTTGTCACGACTGATTTTTTTAGGTTTTGTTTGCTTTATAGAAAGAAAATTTTGAACTGAATCGAAAACCATCGAAACAAAAAGGATTTTTTTTTTTTGAAATTTTAATTTCGAAAAGGAACAATTTTTTTTATTATAATTTTTTTTGCAATCGGAAATAATAAGATTTTTGCACAGAACACTACGGTCTAAGCAATAGCCACATAATTTTGTGTCAAGTTTTATGTTTTTTTTTGCTGGCGTTTTACTCGCAAATTCCTACAAACAAAATATTAAATGCATGCACTAAAATTTGAAGCGAAACCAAAACTGACGATACGATTTGATATGAAAGTGATAGATGGTGTTGGATTCAGTCTACATACTGTTTTGTGTTTGAGATTTGCTTTTCTTTTTACTATGGAAACAAGGGATTTCAAGACAACGCTCAAATTGAAATGCATGCAATGTCTTGAAATGCAACTAAATTAAGACTTTTTTACCAACGAAAAAAAGAAAAAAAAATCACGGTTTTTACGAAATAAAAATTAGAAGATGAAGAGAAAGAGAGAATAAATCATGCCAACGAATAATCGCTTCCAACTAAAACAAAAAGACTGGCAAATTTTTTGGATACAAAACATTGAACTTAATTTCTTTTTTTTTTTATTATAGCGAAATGGTTTTGAGCTCTGGAAGAGACCTCAAATTGGCGATTGGTGTGATTTTTTTTTTCGTATTGCAAATGTTTCGAAAACAAAAAGTTCTATTTAGCAATTCCAACGGAAACAAAAACTAGATGAAATTATAGATTTGCATTTAACGAAAATATTCAAATGTAATAACGAAAGAAACAAAATCAAGTATATAAAAAACATATAGAAGGAAAAACAAATTTTAAAAGAAAATAAGAACAACGAAAAATAAAAAAATAAAATTTGCGAAAAAGTGAGAGAGAGAGAATAAGAGAAAAATAAAAATGAATATAATTGATAGGTGCTACCTGGCACCAGTGGCACAGTAATTGATGATACTGGAATTTGACCAAAGACCATACCATGACGACCACCTTGTGGCCTTCCCGGCACATTACCTACGAAAATTAATTTGATTGGTTTTGATTTGTGAATTGTTTCTTTTTTTATTGTTGTTGTGGTTGTTGTAGTTGTTGTTGTGAGTGATCATAGTTAAGACATAGAATATATGCAATAATGTTGGTATTTATATTTTTTTTTTTTAAACGTGTGAATTTTAGCAACAAATTTTGAAATGAAAAAAAAAAGAACTAAAAGTGACTAAAATATAAGAAAAAGAATAAAATAAAAATTAAATGAAGTTTCTTCCGTTTTAATTCGACACAAAAAAGTAAATGAAGCACGAGTGTGTGAGAGAAAATGTGTTTTGGCGTGTACGCACCGAAATGTTCGAATCGAATTCAGTTTTAAAACGTGCTCTCTAAATTTCTTAAGAATTAAAAAAATGTGAGTGTGTATTGCTGTTGTTGTTATTTTGTACCGAACCTCAAACTTTAAAAAGAAACATCTCAATAACGGTAATCCAACTAAAATGTTGCTTACGTTATACGTTACAAACTGATCAGATTATCGAGAAAGGAACAAAAATGATTGGCATTTTAAAGAATGGAATTTTGCGAAAATCGAAAAAAATTTGAACAAAATGCAAATGAATAATTGCGAATGTAGATATATGTATGTATATATGTGTGTGTGTTTGTGTGTATGTGCGAAGAATGGAATAGAGGGGTTCGATTTAAGGTTCGGTTTTGTGTATGTGAGTGAATATGCTAGAGTGTGTTCAATTGGTTTCACTATCAATCACATTTTCATCTCAACTGATGTGTACGAACGAATGTGGCCATGTTTTTTTCTCTCTATGAATTTTGAACATTCCAAATGAGTCGAAAGCACGCAAACAACATTTGCCGCGTGAAGTCGATGGTAAAGCAAAAAGAAAATTTGAATTGAAAATCCATCTTACAATTATTTCGGCAGAGAATTTGTGCTTCTTTTTTTTTCAATTTATTTGGCATTTCGTTCAGATTATTGGAGATTTTGTTGTTCGCAAATTCCCGGGTGGCCAAGTTGAACTTAACTGACGAATAAACATTTTTCTTTGGCCTATTGGGAATCGAACATAGTTACGAATTGTCGGCATTTTTGCTTTTGACACATAGCGAATTAAAAAATATATGCATCAACTGTATTGTCTACTGTGTATGTATATGTGTGTGTGAATGAGTGCATTAGAAGTGGAGAGTATATTCTTTAATGTTTTTACACAGAAAAAATATATTTAGAAAGAACACAAGAATAAATAGAAACAAACAAACCAACCAAAAAAAAAGTATAAAATTGATAGAGAGTTCACCAAATTGAATTTGAGAGAGAGATAGAATGAACGAAACAAAATTTTCAAAACGAATAATTTATAGTTGACAGTTTTGTTTTCCGTTGAAATGCAATCAATTCAAGTCATGTAATGTTTTTTTTTTTTTTTTGAACAAAAGAGATTTCATATCATATGGGCTATGTTGTTAGTTAGAGTTTCAATTTGTTTGTTAGTTTCGTGTTTAGAGAAACAAGAATATAATGAAGTTTTGAAAGAAAAACGAAACGGTCGCAATTTTTGTGCGAAAGATAGAGAGTTAGATGGTGAGAATTCGAAACAGCGTACAAAAATAAACAAAATTCAAGATAAAACGAAACAAAAAAGAAGACTGAACACATTCTTAATGTAAAAATTGAGATATTAAAAAAAACCGGACCAAAAACGAACCGAAAGCAATTGAACAAAAAAAAAAATATGATAAAATTAAATCTATATCCAATGAAAGAGTATGTATCGAAACAGAATTTAAAAGAAAATAACGAGTTTTTTGAACCGAAACGAAAATTGAAAAGAAATTTTTTTTTTTTTGAGAGAATAGAGAGAAATCAGAGTTTTTTTTTCTGTTGTTGTTGTTTTTGTTTGTAGCGAAAGGGAAATTGCATGTCTTTCTCGTTTACCTAATTGGTTAAGCTGCACTACAGCCGCTGGTAATGTGGTTGAAATTGCGACCGGTGTAACACCAACGCCTGGAATTTTGATTTCGACGCCTGCGAAACGAGAGAAAACGGGGAATTTCGTTCAGAATATCAAATCGTTCGGATTTCGAAATTAGTTTTTGTATTTGATTGAATGAATTAATTTTTTTTGATATAATTCTTTTTTTTGCGAAACTAAAATAAACACCGATAAATCAAATGCATAATTTGTTTTGAATGTAATTTTTGTCCCTTTTTTATAATATGCGGGTGTGTAAAAGTATGAGAAAGACCATGTTTTTGAAATAAAATGACATATTCCGAAAAAAAGAACGCAGAAATATCGAAGTGAACGAATTTGGTGTTTTTTTTTTGTTCTTGTGGCTGATTTTCATAAAAAAAAGATTTCTTTCTGGTGTGTGCTGTTGTTGTTGTGGTTTTTTTGTTGTTGTTGTTGAGTATATGCTTACCGTGCGGTGAATTCGTTGATATGAGTGGCGGTGGTTGAGTTTGAGTTGTGTTTTGTGAATGGGAGGAGGCGGATTGTTGGCCAACAGTTTGTATTGTTGTTGTGGCTGTGGCTATGGTATTTAATGTGGTCGTTGTTGTCACACCGGCTGCTGCCATTCCAATTGATGGCGCAGTATCGGCGCTATTATTTGGCTCCAACCGGTATTGCTTCATAAAATTTACAACATCCGGACCATTGGCCTTTTTACGCCACGTTTGATAATCCATCATATTACCGCCGGTCTGAAGAAAATAAATTTCGGCTACATGTTCCGCATGATTTTCCTTAATTTGCTTCAACCGATGTATGCGATGATTTAGATTTCGTTTTTTAATGTTGCTAGTACTGTTGGCATCGCTACCCAATACTTGGGCACTAGACAACGCCATACTTACTACCAACAAAAATCACAATTTTTCACGAATTATTCATAACCATCCATCGCTTAAAATTTCATCATTCGATTGCCAATGATTTTTACTATATTAATCACATAAACGTTTTTAATATTTTTCACTTGAATTTGGTAAAATTTTGCGTTGAACTTTTTCAATTTTTTCCGTCTCGCACACGAACAACACACGAACGTATTGAAAATCAAATAAAAAAAAAATAAAAAAATGAAAAAATCTTCCACTATTCCGTCGTAGTCGTTGTTGTAGTCGTCGTCGTAGCGCGTTGTCGTTGTATTCGTAGTCGTCGACGTCGTCGCTTTACTTCGTTATATTCGACTCTGTTTGCGCTGCTTCGCCCCAATACACACAACCAAACGTTATTCAACGACGACATGAAATAGAAAAGGATACAAAATCAATACATTTGACGCGAGACCGAATGAGACACACAACAACACCAAAATTTCAATGTGTGCGTCTCAATTATATTCTGTATATGTGTGTTTCGCTTTTTTTCTTTATTCTATCTTTCTTTCCACCTCTTCTTCTTCTTCTGCTCTTCGTCGTCGTAGTCGTCGTTTCGTATTCACACGACAATTTTTTCAAATATGATACTCACAGCAGCTCTGTATGTCGGAAACTGAATTCAGTTCATCGGTTTATGCTGCGACCAAGCCTACAATTGTGTGTCACACAAATACATGCATGCCGTATATTCCGACTGCTTTTGCACACAGCCATTTTTGTTGTAACAAGGCAAATGTGAACCGCACAAACTGGTATGCGGTTCAACAACATGGGCACAGGGCTGCACATTAACCGGCTACTACGAACATTCTTTTTTTCTCATTTTATTTCATTTCTTTTTTCATTGATATAAAATTTCTGAAATTGAAAAAAAAGAAAATAATTTTTTAAAAAATTTCGATTGAAATTGTACAAGTTGGTTTTTTTCGCAACGTTTCGATTCAATGTAAAATGGTTCGTTATTTGCTTCAAGCTAATTGTTTGCGGTTCGATTTTTCTATGTTTTTTTTTCGAGTGTCAATCGTGAGTGTGAATGACAGTTGTTCAAAATGTTCGCCAAGTTCATCGATTTCAAATTTTTGATTCGTTCAAATGGCATTCGCAGTGATGTTTCGACAAAAATCACATTTCAACAATCGATTGAAGAGAATATTTCAATAAAATATATTTATACATTTATTTTTAAATGAGAGTTCAAATGTAAATCTAAATTAGATAATTTTCTATGTTTTTGTGGCTTTTTTTTTTCATCGAAGACATGATGAATCTATCGCCCGGCATTCATAATATGCTTAACGAACGTGTCGTTGAATTGCTGAAATACAAAGAGATTCTCACTGTTCCTGACCTACTCCGCACCGATTCCAATAAACTTAAACAATTTCTGAATTTTGGTAAGAATTTTAAGAGACATACGACAGTAAACAGCAAATGGAAAAGAAGACATCACATGCACTAACACCATTTTTTAATCATTGAATATTTGAAACTTTTCTTCCAAAATCGAGTTTTTATTGCGAAATTTCAATCAATATTTTGTTTGTTCTTTCACTTTTCAGAATTGGCAGATTTATGTACTTTAAAAAGTGATCTATGGCGACTAATCGGCATTGTGCCAGTGAATGGTCTGCAGCAGTATGAGAATTTAAAGGAGCAATCGACTTACATTCCAACTGGCATTAAAAAGTGACTTTTAATCAAAAATTCTTTTCAAATTCCATTCCAAAATGAACCTTTTTCTTTGTCATTCACAGTTTAGATGAATTACTGGGCGGTGGTTTGGTGAGAGGTAATTTAATCGACATTTGTGGTTTTTCGTCATGTGGTAAAACTCAACTTTACACAACGATCGCTGTAAATTGGTCAATCGATCATGATTATGAAACATTTGTTGTGGATACAAAAGGTGACTTTTCTGGCGAACGAATTAAAGGAATCTTATCCAGTCGTACCGATTTCCAAATGGACAAATTAAAGCATGTGATGTGCAACATAAAGGTGGAAAAGTGCAATAGTCCCTTTAAATTGATTGAACTTATTCGAAATTTGATTGAGCAAATGCATTTCTATCCAAACTTAAAATTGCTTGTAATCGATTCGTTGCCGGCACTTTGGTTTCTTTTTCATGGCAACAAACGTAGTTTGGGTCAATGTCAATTGGCCATCCTCGGTGATTTGTTACGCAAATTGGCTGTTGAACATGGAATCATTGTGATTACCATTAACATTTCAACTAGAGCTGTTGTTACTAATGGCACCAATGGTAAGTTTTCTGCCATTCATTTTCAAAGAAAAAAAAAATCTAATCAGAAAGAAAACCATTTAATTTTTAATAATGTTTCATATATTTTTTTTTATAACTTTATTCGTGAAGTATATTTGAAGTGAGAAAAAATTGAAATAAATTGGAATTGAAAATCGTTTAAAATCTATATCATCATATCATTAAGTAACAATGCGTTGGTTTTTTAGTATCATTTTTGTGTGCAGATGATGATCAATCGAATTGTCAATCGAACGATTTGGAACGAAGCGAAACGGATTTAATGAATCGAACAACGCCGTTGGCAATAGATGCCCGAACGGTGCCAGCGCTTGGAAAACACTGGAAATCAATATGTGCGATGCGTTTACAAATCGAACGAAACGATCCATCCAATTCAAATGCGACGTCAATGAGCAATACACCAAACGAACGAACGATTCGTATTTTAAAAAGTATTCAACATCAAACCGGCATTCATTGTATGGTGCATCTAACGGACGCCGGTATCACATGAGCAACACAATGTTTTTTTTTGTGCCGCTAATAGTCATTATTTTTGGTCTTGAATGTGCCATGTTTCATATTCTTATTACAAAAAAAAAAATTGTGTTAAATTCCTAAAAGCTAATTCAAGCCCCTGCTAATTGCAATATTAATTGGGTGTCTCAAGTCTAAATTAGCTAAAAATCCATAAGATTTGTACATTCTTGTTATACATTACAATTTTTTTTTTGTGATTTTTTTTTTTGTTTCGTAAACATCATAAAAGACTACTTGAGGCGCATTTGGGGAGGATACTAATTAGTTAACATTATATGTGGTCTCTTACATAAGCTTAAGGATCATTTCTAAATTAAATCCCTTGAAAGGTTAGAGAATAAGAAAAACAAAATACTCTTAATGACATCTGAAATTAATTAAAATGTGCCTTAAAAATACTACAAATAGTTTGGAATAAAAAATCTGTGTATAAATTATTCGAAGAAAAAATTAATGGTCATTCATTTGTGTATTTATGTCCAGTTTGAGGTATTTCGAAAGAAAAACATGAATATTTTTGGAACGATGTTCAACGATAGGAACATAACCTCAAACATTCAAATACGTTCAAATACGTGTATCTCGTTTTTCTCTAGCATTATTCCCTGCGGCAGACAGCTGAAAAAAAAATCTCAATTTCACCATTATTATTAGCAATATATAAAATAGTATCAACAAAAATGTTCCATAATCCATCCATACATGCACCATCACCATCATCATTGGTGTGAAAAACTGTTTGACCGATTTTGCGATTTTTACATTTGCTCTCTTCATTTCGTTATCACATACATTTGTTTTTTGTTTCGTTTATTTCTCGTTTGCGCCAATAAAATCTAGTTACTTTCGCTTATTGCAATAAATATTAGCAAAAGAAGAAAAAAAAAATTGGTGGTGAATGGTGGTCAGCGAAAAAATCTACTGAATTCTATTGTTTTTAACGAGTTAAATCAAAGCCGATGTAGATATGCATTATTACAGGGTAATCTTCCTGATGGATGGTCTCATTATCTATTTTACTTTCTCTTGCGCTCTCACTTTTTCAGTGCATTATAAGCTTTTATCACTTTTTTACTCGGTGTAATTGTATCACCAAGTCCTGGTCGCTTCAGTTTTTTATTCGATTTCGTTGTGACATTCGTTCCAGTGGTTGCCATCTGTGTCGGTGTATTAACAGCGACCGATGTGTTGGTGGTCTGTGTACTTTCTCCATCCATTCCAATTGTTGATGATTCAACATGCAAATCCGAATCGTGAGCATAAGTACAATTGCTTCCAAAACGGCATCGACCTTTTCGATAGTTCCAGCAGATTTTCTTGCCATTTTTCATATGCGTATGAGCATCGGTTTCAACCTAAAATCAGAATTGAATGAAATGTTAAGTAATGAGAAGGTCTGATTTTAACATGGATGTTCACCCCTTTCATCATTTACCATTTTAACATGCTTTTCCAAGCTGGCGATTTGATCGTTTTCCGCTTTTTTATACGGATTATTAAATACTTGTCCAGTATTACTGTTTCCATTCAATAAAATCGATGAGGCACTTGGTAGGACCGTTTTCTTTGTTTCGCTGTGAAAATGAAAAGGAAATTTTTCGAATTTATTGATTTGAAATTCATGGACAAAAACACTTTTCGTTACTTTTTTGATTGTTCGCATGAACTGTTACTGTTTTCGTCGTCATTTGATTCGTTATCTGAGTCGGATGCGGAGCGTAACAAATTTTTCACATCACCACATTGTGCATTAGTCACATTCAATGTATTTTCATCGTCTGAATCACTGCCACTCGATCCATAATCGGCAGATACTAATGAATTCATCCTTCTTTTTTGTTCGTTTATTGCTCTTGACGACGATTGATGATAACAACAATAACAACAATAATGAACGCAATTTAATTACGCTCAATTGAATTTCGCAGTTGAGAACTCGTTTGATTTGTGAATGCGAACGAATCGAATGATAAAATCAAAATTCAACAGAAGAGAATAAACAATTTCGACTATATAAACTATTCAACAACACAAACAAAACAATGCTTCAGTTTTGATTAAACAACAACGTTTTTGTTAAGAGCATACTGTACGCAGGATTTGTTATTGAATTGCACAAATTTATTGTTGTCAGCGCACACACAATTTCATACACATGCATGACAATATACTATTGACACATGCATTAGGCGCGCTAAAATAGATGGATATAGCATGTGTGTTTGTACTATTTTACATCAGACAATACTGTTGCTATCACACTCAATACACACTTGTGATGGCCAATGGCAAGAATGTATAACTTACAAATGCCAAAGGCTACTAACTAACAAGAAATGAAAAAAAAAAAACTCACGAAGATTTCTACAAAGTTCCGAATTCAGAATGAAGAAATGATTGAAAGGTTCTTTTGATACGAACCTTAAGCATAACCTAGTAAAATACTTTTTTTTATTAATTCATTCAACATTTCAGCCAGTTGATAAGTAAATTCATTGAAAAGGTGCATTTTCATAGCATCCCCAGATAATTTGGCTGAAAATACCAAACACCGGTCTTTCCATAAAATAAAATTGACTCAATAAATGCTATTCAACTAAAATTACTATTGGAATATTGAGCATTTTGTTTATTAATTCGAATATAAAAATGTACAAGGTACAATCAGTTCTATACTTTCATTATTGGCAATAACTTATGATGGTTACAAATTATTGAAGGCTGTAATGAATACTCATTCATTATCATCTACTTTAACTCTATTGAAATGTAATTGTAAACATCGAGTTGAAACTTCGTTATTTGATCAATATTATTTCTAAAATCATTGATGATAATGGCAGCCCCAACGTCACTCAATTAAAATCTCAAATGTCTATCATAGTAGATTATTTGTAATGCCAGTCTCCAGAAAAATAGGCAGGCATTACATTTGGCGAATATTTTTTCGTTCCAACACTCAATGACTGTTGTTCAATATTTGACTTGAGGTTATGTTCATTTAGTTATGAATTTGGGAACTGTCAAACTATGTCAATTCTATTGGATTGGAAATTAAAATAACAGGCGGTATATTCAATTATTATTCGATCAGTCATGAGCCCCGAAACATGAAGGGAATTTTTTGTTTGTTATATATTTTTAAACACAGATACAGTTTCCTCCACATTGTACTCGCTGGTACATATTATTGAATAGGCAACAACAGACAGTTGAAAAAGCGACGTAACAAAAGAGTTCAGCCTAACAACATGTATTGTTTCAGTCGGCATTACTATTTGCTATATTCAGTCTTTTATTATTCTTAGCTGCTAATGATAGAAACTGGCAACTTTTTAGTCACATTCCACATACAAAATCTTCAACGTTTCACAATGAAAATTGAACTTGCAATTATCGTCGCAACAATTATTCAAATATTAATCTAAATTGGCGATCTAAAGTTCGTAGTCCAAAAATACAAAGCCCAAATTTATAGAGAAACCGATAGCACTCATTATAATTCATATTTCCAGTGTTGTACATTCCTTATATTTTTCGAATTGGTGCATTTTTCAGAAGTATGTTGAGAAATTAAATTTTTTGATGGGAGTTTGGGCATTTTCATCAATGCTGAGTCTACTAGTAACCAGATTTAGCAATTTGTCGTTTCAGAATTCTTCTAAATACTTACATTTTCATTCAATTTTATTGTTTTTCTATCTGAAAAAATTACCGTTTGGTAACTTTGGTGCTAACATTTTTATTGATATATTCTTAGCTGAACAAAAATAAAAAAAGCCATCCAGTTTAATTTTCTTTTTTTTTTTCAAATTAATTTAAAATTTGTTTATTAAGTACCTTAACATTGATTTTTTCTGAATGTGCCTGAATCGGACACTGGTTTCACATATAGAATTTTTTATATATTTTTTTTGTTATTTTCTTCTAATAATTGTTGTTGAAAAAATATTTTATCAATTTTTACATCCAGAATTGGTTTTTTTTTTCTTTTTTTGTTGTTTTTTTAGTACAATATATTTATGATGATAACAATTAGAATGGTTTGTTATTTGTCGGTCGGTCGGTCTGTATGTTCTTTTAGCTCATAAGAATAAAACGGTTTTTTGAAAAAATAAAAACAGTCAAAAATACAACAACAAATTTAAAAAAAATGTATTTTGTAGTGTGTGTATATTTGGTTTGTTGAATTGCCACTCATCACAGAAAAATGTTGAACAATGTGTTTCTCTTCTGATATTTTCCTTGATGATGTCACAATTTTTTTGTTGTTGCACTCAAGTAAGACGAGAAAATAAAAGAGATGACAATAAAAGGTATTTCTGATGCAGCATTTATTTGCTAGATATTTGTTTTCCGGTTTGTTTAATACAAATATACCGTGTTGTATGTGGGGGGTGGGTGTCACTTATAAAGTCGAACACTTTTCTTCTCAAATATCAATTAGTCGATTTTTAAAAACAACTATAATTATAATAATACTTCATCACTAAATAAAATCTACAATTGAAAATGAACAAAAACTTCTCGATGGCCTTTTTTCTCTATCTCAGCCAAAGATAGGAGAGAAAACAACATCCAATCGATTTACTGTACAAATAGATAGCCTGACTGAATTTAATAAAAACAAAGTCTGAACGGTGTGTTTGTGTATATGTATTTGTTTCCAAAAAAAAAAAAAACATTTACAAAAATTGCTACCATCCTTTTAGCTTTTCAAAAGACAAAAATAGAAATTAATCATTTTTCATATGAAAATTTAACAAGAGAACAAAAGGATTATGAAGAGGAGAGGTCGACTTTTTGCTTAAAATAATTTAAAAGATTTCCGTTTTTTTCTCTTCTTGTCTCTTTTTGTAGGTATAAATATCAATGTGTTTTCATTCTCACTCTCTCTCTCTATCTCTTTTTCGCAGAATTTAATTAGTTTTCTCCTTAACTATTTAAACAATATATTTGATAAAATGATGATGGTGGTAAATGTTTTTGTTGTTGTTTGTTGTTGTATATATTATATGTGTGCAAGTATATGTCTCTTTTTTATAATTGATTTTGTTTTCTCTTCTTGATTTTATCTCAACGTAAATGTGTAAAAAAAACTTGATTTCGTGTATTTGTTGAGTTTGTTAGGTAAATTTTTGGAGAGAGGGTATCAAAACATCAAGCCGTTCCGTTTATCAATTTTGGTTTATTATTCGGAGAACATCCGTTGGTAACAACAGTGTCATCTAGATCTAAAAACCGAATAGAAAAAAGAATAGAGAGGAAAGAAGAAAAAAAACACAAAACAATAACAACTCAAAAATGTTTACAGCTGAACATTTTGTCATAAGAAAAAAAAACAAAACATTTTTTGTTAAAAACCACAAATTTTTGTTGAAAAGCACAAAAATTTGTTAAAGAAAAAACAAAACAAATAAAATTCATCTAATTGATGCACGCTAATGATTAGTCAATGTGTGAACAAGAAAGTGGAAGTAAATATGGAGAAGAAAAATAGAAATCATATTTAAGCCGAAAATGTTTATCTAATGGAAAAACAAGAAAGAAAAACGATTTTCGCCTAAAATTAACAACGGTCACCAAATGACTTTAATGAAGTTCGCTTTCCATAAAAACCACAATAAACCCATCCACCATTCACAAATACATGAAAATGAATTTTCTACAAAAGTTCAAGTGTTCGTATTGAGCGTGTATAAAATGAATTGGTACTGAATTACCATCACCACCGCCTCTACCCCTATGGTTAGCACATATTGAAAGTCATTTAAATGATTTTCACTACTACCTTCGGGCTATTAAAAGGTCGACAAAAATCAAATTAACAAAAATGTTTCATTTTAAATTGTTTAAATGTCATTTTTGAATGCAATGTGGTTGTTTGTGTTTTTTTCCTCCATTTCTGGCGTTTGTTTGAGTGTACGTATTTTGTCTCATGTCCTACAGCACATAATAATGTTAAATGCAAATTTTAATTACACATCTACAGTTCAATTAAATTTGAAAATTAGCTTCACTAATTTGAAATGTTTCTCTCTGTCTTTCATTCAAAATATATATATAATATATCTATTTACTATAGCATCAAAATTGCATGAACTAGAACAACATTTATCTACAGCAGATGAGTTTCTATAATTCAATCTATAGAATTAAATTTTCTTCTAAAAAAGGTGTGTGTGTGTTTTTAGTCTAAATGCCACTGTTGTGTAGAATATTAGAAGAGGGCGTAAAATTTAAAGCGAATTGGCATAAAAAGAGAGGATTAGTCGACAAACAATGTCTCACTAATGAAAATGAACTCTTTCATTCATGATTCATTCAATAAATGGGATCTTTTTTTTAAATTTTATTTGCATTTTAATGCGTCCTTAGCAAAATATTCAATTTTCTCAATACAATTTCCCGTCTTTCACACGTTCACACTCTCTTCGATTCATTTGTGTGTCTTTTCAAGCATATATCCCACGGTGTTGATGTGCGTTGTAGCCAAATGATGATCGAAATTTCAATGGTTTTGTTGGTTTGTATGTTTGTGTGTGGTTTTTTTTTATTTAATTTGGTCGTGGGTACGATATTATTTCAGGTTTAATTTTCAATTTGATGAGTTTGCATTGGCAACAATTGGATGTGCAACATTGTCGTATGCATGACTGTCGTTATGCACATGGTTTTCATGGTTATTATCATCGCAATGAACTTTATTAGTATTGCTATGGTTATTCAGTTGTGCTATGCCATTTGTTTGTTTATCATCAATGCCTGCATCACAATGTTTATTGTATTGTTCCAATTTTTGATGATCCTTACCGTGTAACGAATGACAGAATTTTTTTGTTTTGCTCCAATCTTCTTTCAATGATAAATTGAACATTGAAAACGATGGATCACCGGTCACCTCTTTAACAATATTTAAAAATTTTGGCAAACAATTCAACAGCTTTTCACCATCAAGCGATGAATACGTTTCCAATAGCATCAATCCTTTGCATCTATTTAGGTGAGGGGTTGAGAGAAATCGAAAAAAAAATAAATGTATGTGATAAAGTTTAGATTGATGGCATATTCGAAAGAAAAAATGTTGACATTTACCTTGGATGGCTCGGCTCTTTGTACACGTCCAGTTGAAAATACTGGTTATTCACTAAAAAGCATCGTCGCTTTTTGTAAATTGTAAAATGGGCATCGTCACGTTGCGCCAATAAATTCATGTAGTCACGATGTGTGATTTGAGTTTTTGTTTCCACCGATTGATTATGCACATGTGGACGACGCAACGTATGTGTATACGACCAACTACTTTTTTGGCCACGTTTTCGCAATCGAGCCTGACACTTTGGACCATTTGATTGTAAATAATGATGAACCACATCGAAATCTTGAAAATCCGGAAATTCACTATCCGCCGGTAATTTTCCGCCAACTAGAGAGAGAGAGAGAGAGAGAGAGAGCGAGAGAGAGAGAAAATCGTATTAAATTTCGTGTAAACATTCAATGAATTTTTGACAATACAACGATCACATGAGCTTGAGGAAAATATCTAGAAAATGCATGCAAACGTCCTCAGCGCATACAATTCAGAATGAATTGAAAGGGTAACTCTAAATATCAATGGTAACCGACGACCGATTGTCGATTTTGTCAGTCATTGAACAAAACTTTGACTAAATGGTCGCACGTTCATTTTCATTTTCTAGGACATTTCAGTACTTTGAACGTCGGGCCGAATGTGATTTGTCGCAAATCCCATCAAAAAATTACTGGCATGCCTGTGTGTTGTCTTGTTCACTTTAATGATATTTTTTCACTTGTTACGTTTAGTGCCACGTTTTTTTTTTTAAATTATTATTGTTATTTGTCAAATTATCGCGATTTCAATAGATATGAGCGTTTCATGTTCAACTTGTTTGCCGCCAAATCAACAAGAGTGAAAATGAACATTTCTCGAACAAAACAACAACAATGCCACGATAGATGAGCGCTCATGTATTTGGCATGCATCCAGAAGAATTGAACGCTCTAGAATAAAAACAATGTACTGAATGGTTGTACACCGTGTTCCGCTTTGATACGTTGTTTTTATTCTAGAGCGTTCAATTGTAAATTAGAATGCGAAGTAAAAAAAAGTAAAACAATGCCCAAGCATATTCGGCAGAGAATGAGACACAAATACTGAAAAATGACATACCCAAAAATTTCAGTTTTCTTGATGTTCGCAACAACCGATCACCGGTATCGATGCCCAATTTTTGGCAAACACATTCCAACATTCGATTGATTTTCGTTTCAAAATCCGTTGAATTGTCAATGACATCAAAATACGGATGACCAACCCATGCCGCAGCTGATCTGTAATCCAAATCTCTGGCAAGTTCCACGCCCTCCGATCGGCATGCGTGTTCCTATAGACAAAACAATTGTTTACAATCATACACTTGTTTATTTGTCCAATATGATGGTGGTGTCAATAATTTTCCGCCCTCTGTCAATCTTTTGTCGATTTGTTCAATAAAATCGATGATTGCCAATAACAGATAATGGCGTGTTGTTTAGACGGAATACATACCTCGGTGGAATAGAAGTCTTCAGCACCGTTTGCAGCCGACACCATATGCACAATATGATTGTAACGATTGTCACGCAATTCAACCGCATTCCAGCCATTGGCCGCCGTCATTTTTGCCCATTTTTCCTTAGAAATATCTACATTTTTTGAATGTACAAAATTCACACAAAACATGACACAAATGATTGATTACCATTCTCGATAATAAACAAATTGTCTAATTTACATTTGGCACTCAAGTGACAACAGACAATGTCATTAGTGAATATCGCCTTTTTTATGGGGTAGATTTAGTTATTATATACTTACAAGCACTTGCATCCATCACGCCTCTATCACAAATAATAAGACAATTTTTTGAACATGATTTTCCCAGCTCAAAGTATGTGTTCTCGATTTGAATCATGGTCCGCAATAAATTCTCTTGAAAATGATAAGCTATAACGGAGGGTGGGGGGGGAGAGAAAGAAAAACAACATTTATAGTTAATTTCAATGATATTGATGTGGTGGATTGAAAAGCAATATTTGTGTGCGATTGACTGTTGTTTGTATTATGGAAATTCAGTTTGAATTAATTCACAATTGTGCGTGGATGGCATTTTAAGATATTTCAACTTTATTATCGAAGATAATCTTCGTTTTACGCATTTATTCATTACATTTGAATTAAACTCAACTGTCAACTCAAGAGAGAAAAGTAAAAATTCAACCAATTTTGAATGAATGAGTAAAATTTGGCACAAAACTAGTCATGCGAAGGACCCATGTTTTTCTCAAATTCCAGAATTTTAAAGATTTTCAAACTTTTTTTTCACTATTTTCTTCTTCTCCCATTCTCCAATGGAAAAAACCTAAATCGTGTGGCTTTTTTTTCAAATTGGTTTGTCATATTCATGTTTGTCGTCACTTTTTGTCCATTTGATTGGTCTCTTTAAATCAACTATTTTCTTTCAAACATTTCGATAATTGCATAGTCGATATTTTTCTTCAATTTTCAAAGCCAAAATATTATGACCGAAAACAGAGTGAAAAAATAGCCTAGAGCTACAATCAAATATGACCATGACAATGCAGTCCGCAAACGCCTGTTTTTTATAAAATACATCATCACATTCTCCTCCAAAAAAACCACCACGCAACTTCAAATGTAAAGAAAATCAATCGAAGGATAGTAAAAATAATACAATGTCAAGTAAATCGTGTGTGTTAAATGATTCCATCGCAAATACGTATAAAATATTAATTTCAAGTTTAGATTTTTGATCGAATGAGCTATGTGTACGGGGATCTGCTATTGATTTTGTGGTGTCTATTTGAGTGTCCCAATTTGAATATCTAAATTAACGAATCTTAATTGGCTTTGGTGTTGGTTAGCTATACCATCTGTGTATATTATTGCTCCTCTTATCTTGTGCCGATGTGTCAATCAACATGTGTGTATGTAATACATAAATTGGATTTTCGATTTGTAGCACAAACTATGAAGTCTTGGTGTGCTCTTGTTGTTGTTGTTGCAGTGACTTGATTTGAATATGATAAAATCCACTGTCGCAGCCATTACTCGATGATTTATCGACGGCGTGGAATCCAATAAAAAAATCAAATATCGATCGAAATTGTGGATGAGCTCATGAAATCGCAACGAAATCATTATTATAATTCGATAAATCAGCGCATTTAATGCCCTTGGCCTTGCGTTGCCTTGTCCATACGATGGATTTCAGCTGCAATGTGACACACTCACATTGGTGTTGACATCAATCATATATGCACAAGTGGTTCAGGGTGCCCCTTTTGAATGTAACGTATATAATATTGATGAAGTTGATGGCGACAACAGAGACGATAAGTGCGGCTGTGTTTGAATGCTGCGGTCGCAATAGCCATTTTAAATATTGGCCCATTTATTACCGAACTATTGATACCGTGTAGATATCACACACACACACACATGTATGGCACGTACGACTTAACCACGCCGATGATATCAAGCCCTTTGGTTACATTTTAGTGGTATATGTTTATGTTCATCATAAAATGTAATTTAAATTTTGTGGCTAACTTGCAATTTGCATCACACATTTCATGACTGCACTTTTGTACACGATGCATTTTATTCAAAAGAAAATACATTCAATGGCGTTTAAAATTGTGCATTGCAATTTGTAAGCTACTATGTTTTGGTTCTTTTTCTTCTTCTCTGATTTGAACATGAAGTGATTTTATATTAGAACTGAATCTTTTTTTACTTGATTGCGTTTGTCTCGGCTGTGACATGCAATTTATTATTCTTATCACATACAGCTGCTCAGTGCACTCTTTAATCTTTTCTTCATTATTTTTCTTTCCCTCTTCCACTCTTACTCTTCTTCTATTTTCATTTATATGTTTTTCTTTCCATCCCCTTCTCCTTCCGCCACTCCCATTGTTTGTTTTTTTTTATCATTTTTCCTTCCTCATTTCGAAATGAAGTGAACAGAATGAAAAATCATTGTCTGAATTCACAAAAGAAATAATGAAAGCGAAGGCGTGTGCATGTCGAAGAAGTTGCCCCAATTTAGACGGTTGGTAACAAGGTTAGCAAAACCTTGAACTTAACGGAATGATTCATTTCATCTGTTTAACCCAATCTCTGTTGGCATCAGTGTGCATGGATGTGATGATTTTTTCGTCTAATTTTAAATTTCATAAGGAGCCTTTAAATTGGATATTCTCCATGTTCTCACACGATGCACGTTCTATTGTCACATTTGAGAGAAATGCTCATGCACAAAATGCTTTCACATAATTGTATTTGGATTTTTGATATTTGTCGAGCATGTTGCGAATCTGCTAAATTATCGACGTAGGTGCTGATTAATTATTGATTTGATGAGGAAATGAATTGCTCACCGATGCATATGTTTAACATCATGGGTGGACAGATATTTTTCTGCAGATGGGGAGAAATGGGAAATGGCATGTATCATGGGAGATGGGATAATCATCAAAAAAAAAAGCAAATCGAAAGATGTGAAAAGTTCAGATGGTGGCAAAACTTTTTCGTTTTAATTTAGATCGGGTGTGTGACAGAAGAGGGACAAAACACAGAAACCCTTCCCCACTCAGTACACCTAAGGTTCAACATCATGCAGTGAACTAATTTAATTTATCACGTACTAACAATCGACGGACAATGACGTAGCATCCGCATCAAAATTGGAACATTCCATATACGAATGCAATTTCTGTCAGTCATATGCCAGTGCATCTCAATCTTTCAGCGCATTGATAATTTATTTTTTTATTTTGCCAGATGACGAACCATAGTCGAAAACATCAATATTTACCGAGCCTGTTGTTTGGATTGTTAAAACAATTGCGATTTTTTGTCTGCGTCCACAATGATTTAATAAAACATTTTTTTTTTACAATCTCAAGTGTCGGTATAATCATTGAATAAACAAGAAAACTGTTTATTTTTAATTTAAAACAAATTCCCATTTGATAAATCGGCAAATAAAAATGGAACAAAAACCTCTAATCGCGCGCGCATATCATAAAATCCGATTTTAAATCAGACATTCGATTGAATGCGAAAAGAGAAACGATGAATATATTGTTGCTTTTGTTCTCATACTCGTGATGATAAGATTATGAAAAACATTGAAACGAGCCAGAACAATTTGCCTCGACTCAATAAAATCAGTCACGAGAGAGATTTACGTAAATCGTAAATAAAATGCTCAAAGCGAGCGGCAGAGAGTGGGTGAGAGGCGGTTTTTTTCTTCTTCATCATCATCATGAGTGGTTTTAGCTTAGCATTCTGGATACGGTCGCTGCCGTCATTGATACCAGCATGTCACGGCTACTCAAATTTCTCATATTAATCTGAATTAAAATGTGATTTATTATCGAATGTCACATGATCATTGCTCCATTTATTACATACCGGAATAGAAAGACACAAAAAAAACCGAATGCATGGCACGTTTACAATAATTGAGTCTAACACATAGAGAGAGAAAAAGAGCAGTGATGTCGTATAATCAACATTTATGATGTGAACGCTCACTGCTGGCTTTTAACAATAAAAAAAGCACACAACACAACACATACTCAGTTTATAGGTTTCATTTTTCGTTAAAAATGCAATCGCTTTTCCACTGAAATGCGTCATTCTCTCGAATGATCGATGTTTTACTTGCGGGAGGTAAATGGAATGACAGACACCGATTTTGTTTTGCCAAATAAACCTGTCTCTGTCTTTTTTAGAAAATGGACTTTCGATTTGATGTTGCATGGTTTTTCGAATCGAACACACTTCAGAACGATGCGATTTCGTTTGCAATGACCTTTTGCAATTACTTCGAATGCTAAATATATGAATTGCACTTCAGTATCACTGTGAAGCGTCTTGGCATGTATGCTTTTAATCCGATTTCTAGTATACAAACGTCGCTGTCATCGTTTTTGAATCGGTTGGAATTTTTAGTGGGTGACTTCGAATTGAATGTTCGAGACGGAGGGGGGACGTGCTTGCGATTATCATTGTTATGATTGTTTAGATTAATACTATATTATCTTCCTTCTTATTGTATATGCTTGTATATATTTATATTTCGGTAAATTTGGCATCTATCTGAGAGCGGTGAGTTAATATACGTGAAACGTAGTGCTATTTATACATCGGTGTGTAAGTCAAATGAAAACCATACTGTACAGAAAGAATTATAGCTCGTTTCGTTCACGCGCTTGCTCACTTTTCAACACGATCAACTTCTGTTGTGCTGATCTGTTCTGTTCCTTTGGAATTGATTTGGCTTTTTCGCTCGCTCTTTCTAATTTTTTCTCTCTTTCTATGTCTATCTATCTCCACTCCCCTCCCTCCCCTCTCTCCCTCTCTATCTTGTTTTTAAACATTGTAAACAACATCCGGTCACATAGCTGTTGGACGGGTGATAATTGTCTTTTGTTGGGTATCATCCAAATGGATTACCGGTCAAATATTTGTCTGTGGCATATTTATGTCATCTTTTTGGTTCGTACGTCAAAAGTGTCAATAAATAAAAAAAAGGAAGAAGGAGCCACTTATGTTGATAACATCTCTCTCCCGTTCTTTTTCTCTGACACTATCTCGTTGTGTTGATCATGTTGAATGGCAGCGCGAAAAAGCGCTATAAATAGTATGCAAAAAAGAGCGAGAGAGAAAAAAAGCATCTCTGAAGGATCTTTTTTGTGTCAAATGATACGTCACATTTAGCGTGCCGAGCCAGCGGCGAAAGAAAAAGAAAAAACAAATAAATAAACGTGATGATTTGAATAAACCGAGCAAAATAGATAGATTCAAAAAAAGCAACGAGACATCGAAAAAAAAGAATACGCGTGAAACTAAAAATATTCGCAAAGCAAAAAAAAAATTCTCTTATTTCAAGCAAAGATCTTTGAATATGAAAT